AACTCCCATCTGACCTCCTGCCTGTGGGACGCGGATACCCCGGGCTTAATGGACGCTCTCCTAGAGTTGCAAGCCACGAATCAGGCTCTCGTGAGACGCTCGCGTTACATTCGAGACGGACAGGCGTTAGATCTCATAGGTCATCTTCACTGCGACGTTTTCAATCAGGATAAATTCTTAATCAACGGAGTGGAAGTTAGAATGAGGCTCGTTTGCTCGAAAGATTCGTTTTGCCTCATGGAATCTAATTCGGTGTCAAAAATACGCCTTCTAGACGCTAGTCTGCTCGTTAGAAGAGCAAAGATAAGCCCCGGTGTGTTACTCTCACACGCGAGAATGTTGAGTAAAACCACCGCCAAATATCCTCTCACAAAAGTCAGGTTAAAACATTTACGATTCACGCCGGACTCGTAGGAGAATCGATAGATAATGTAATACTCGGACAACTGCCGAAACGTGTAATAGTCGGCTTTGTCGATAACAGAGCGTTTAATGGCGATAGAAAATTGAATCCGTTTAATTTCAAAAACTACGGTATAAATTTCTTTTCTCTGTATGCCGATGGTATGCAAATTCCCAGTAGGCCGTTACAACCGAACTTCTCGAAAGACGAAAAGCTTTACGTCGAAGCCTACCACACACTCTTCTCGGGAACCGGCATTCACTTCTTGAACGAGGGAAATTCTATAAGTAGAGAGGATTATGCCCAGGGCTACACTCTTTTCGCTTTTGATCTTATCCCCGACTTGTCCGCTCATTGCGCCGGACATTGGAATCTCGCGAAACATGGTAGTTTGCGATTAGAAGTGAAATTTGATAAGGCGCTTACCACGACCGTTAATTGTATCGTTTATGCAGAGTTCGATAATATTCTAGAAATAGACTTCTCTCGACAAGTTATCGTCGATTTTGGCGGTTAGGTTTTTATAACGTCAAATCCCCCACCTCTATTACTACTACCACTACTACGTACATTTTTCCCTAACGTCTGTTTTCTTAAATGACGTGTAAAGCAGCGGAAAGAGATTCAGTTTTGTTCGAGACGCGAACGGCGTCGCTTCGTTTGAAAAGAAAGAGCGAGTACTTGGACATAACCATGGATATAGTCATCGATATACAGGGTTTCCGCGATGCCGAGAAGTTTATTCCGAAAGAAGTGGCTGTTGTCGTGCTTAACTCCGCAATCATCGGACATTAGATTATGACGCCTCCCTATCCCTTTGACGATTTACCTGAAAAATCGAGACGAGAAAACAACTGGCTTTCGCGAAATTATCACGGAATCGAGTGGTTCGATGGCGAAACCGATCTTAAATGTTTCGTAATACAGCTGCGAGAAATAACACGTCAAGTGCGCTACATCTATAGCAGGGGCAAGAAAAGGCCCGCTATCTGAGGCGTCTACTTTCCAGAAACGTATATAATCTAGAAGGAATTTCTCCGGCGTTTAAAAATTTGTCAGAAGACAAAGAGAGCGGACATCGGTGCTCTCACCA